TTTTTTTAGTGATCAATAATATTTAATTTGATGATAACAAAGAGTTTATACTTAATAGATCAATGGATTAATGGTATCAGTAAAAACTGTCAACAGCTATTATTATGGATAAATGATATTTCTTTCTCCGATTAATTAAGACACAGTAAACTGACAATAGGTACCTTAAAGCGAGTTATAAAAGTATAAAATTTAAAAGACAGAGAGGGGACTTTAAAATTTGAGAGTCGTATGCGGTATACGTCTTGCACACCGATAGTTGCGGCATTGAACTTTCCGGTATACCTATACAACTAATATAATATGTATGTGCGTTATACGTATACAGACGATCGGTACGGCACAACCATACTGCAGTTGTCAATAATTAATAATAGTTTTTGAATTCCATAATTTTATTATTTATAACGATTGCTCCATTCCGTTCGTTACCTACACGTACATCGTTCACACATTTCTATATACCTACCACACTAAATGAATTCAATCTATATAATCGAAGGCCATTCGCACCATTTTTCGAGTACCTACAGGAACGATTTCCGTAATTAAAAAAGTTATACTCGCTATAATTACGCGATATGGGTGATGTACCGATGAAGATGCACGTCAATAAACTATTTACACATTATCAACGGCGCGAGTCCGTTTAAACGCGAGACAACGGCGGTAAGCCAATTATTTTCGTTTGATCACACGAATTGGCGTTGTCTTAGCGTAAATGATGACCTCTGTCCTCCGTGACACGATCGTTTTACCGTTCGTTCGTTGTTGTTTACAGAGTGCCGCGGAGAGTGAAACGTCACACTTCTTCACGCGCGCACCGTCATGGCGTCGGTGGCACGAGGCGCAGTTGTGCGCAAGGAGCCGGTGGACGGGGTGGCGCACCGACGTCGGAGGGAGCTGCAGGTGGTCCGGGCCGAGACGGAAGCGTGCAAGCGGACGACGGAGCGGCTGTGCCGGAGCGTGGCCGACGACCGGGAGAAGCTGGACACGGCGATCGCGGAATACGCGCGTAGGTTGGCCGAACTGACCGAGCGGCAGTCCGAGGCGCACGGTCGGCTGGTGGCCGTGCTGCACGGACGGTCGGCGGCCGAACGCCGCGAGGCGGTGCGACCGCGCGGAGAACGAGCTGCGAGCGCGGCGGACGGCCAGCACGGTGCGCGCGTACCGGCTGGACGCCAGGTGGCAGCTTCACGGCCAGTACCGCGGTTTCGTGGTGGACGTGTTGGACGCCGCGAGTCCGCGGCTGCCGTCGCCGCCGCCGACGCCGGCGGCCGGGACGGGGGCGCGACGCCGGCTCGGGGCCGCCAAACAGGACGGCGGTTCTTCGCGATGCCGACCGGTCGGCACGCAGTACCGGCGCGAATCGCTCGGACGTCCGGTCGTTGCACCAGCTGATGTTCGGATACATGCGGAAACGTCGGCGGGCGGCCTGCGGAGTGCCGGTCTGGCGACGACCGGCCGTCGTCCGGACAGCTAACTTAATACGTAACGC